ATAGCGGGTCAATCCAGTATAAATATTACTCCTAATATTCATACCTATGTCAAGACTTGATAACTCCTTATCCATGATCTATGAGATGTAATCATCAATCTATCTACATAATAATATCAATACTTTAATGTTATACTAATTTGCAATAAAGCTCGACTACATATGCTTAAGAATAGTGTCCTTATGTTTAATGGGATCTCATGATTAAGTCACACTTAACATTTCATTAAACAGACAAACTATTCTAGGGACTTTATTATTTTGGAAAAGCAAACATAATAAAGAAATTCCTTTTATTATTAATAAATATTTCGATACAAGTGCCAAAAGTATTGGCCTCTAGGGCTTACACCAACACACCGCCCTTCTTAAAGCCCATTAAGGCGCGTTCGAACTCTGATCCCACATATCTTTCTCATCAAGTAACATTGAGGCAAAGGAAAATGGTAAGGTTTCAAAGAATGTGAAATAATGTATCGTTGAAGTTGGGGATAAAAAAAACGGTATCATTTTTGTATACGTGATTAGTCTAGAAAAATACATTTGAGATATTTGGTAGAAAGTTTGTCTTTACCTAGACTGAGGTCATGGATAAAGCATGTGCAACTAAAGACGTAAAGAGAAATGAGGTAGAGATCATATTACAAATTCAAGATAGAGTATAGAATTTGATATTGAAGGACCGGTGAAGGTATTTGGCTGATAAGGTAACAAGTTGTGAGAAGAGTATCAACCCAAAAAACGAGAAGGGACATTGTGGTGAAGTAAAATAGTCTGTGCAGTTTCAACTAAATGAATATTCTTTCATTTAACAACATTGTTTTGTTGTGGTGTGTGAGCACATGATGATTGATGAATAATCCTCTACGGTGTTTAAAAAAAATTGAAAATGAGATGACATATGTTCTCGAGCATTATTAGTGCGTAAAATTTTAATGGAGGTGTCAAACTGGTTTTTAATTTTGGCATAAATTCTTGGAATATATGGAAGACATCTAAATGATTTTTCATCAAAAATAACCAAGTACTTCATGAAAAATCATCGATGAAGGTTACAAAGTAATAATATCCTAAAATTGACTTGACATGACTAGGACCCCAAATATCAGAATGAACTAAAGCAAAAGGTGACACATTACTTTTATTTACTTGTTGGCAATAGGTGTGACAAGTATGTTTGCCTAATTGACATGACTAACACTCAAATGTCGAAAGCTTAGAAAGACTAGGAACTAAAATACACATTTTATTAAGGCTAGGGTGACCCAAATATTGATGTGTATGTCTTTGAGAAGTAATATAAGCACATGCCAGTGATGGTGATAAATGATATAATTCTCCAGACTCACTCCTTGTCCCAATTGTCCGTCTCGTACGTCGATCCTAGACATAAATAGAATTATCAATAAACATAACTGAACAATCAAGAGAAAGAAAAGGTATTTGGTCTCATAATTCTAATCCTAAATATGTTTGTGTTTTAAATTATGACGGTCTCTCTACTTCATATGTCTATTTTGTTTCTGCTCTTGATTTTGTGTATATTCCTAAGTCTACAGGTGAAGCTATGACTGATCCTAATTGGCGTCATGCGATGATGGAAGAAATGGCTGCATTGCATTTAAATAACATATGGGACATTATTACTTTACCTCCATACAAAACTACAGTGGGATGTCGATGGATTTATATAGTGAAAGTTGTCTTGAATGGTCAGATCGATAATTTTTAATCATGTTTGCTAGCTAAATGATACACACAAATATTTAGTCTTGATTATGGTGACACTTTTTCTCCAGTGGCCAAGATCTGTTTAGTCCATTGGATGAGAATATGGACACAAAGATGTCTAGAAGGGGGAGGGGGTTGAATAGACCTATCCCCAATTAGACAATTTAAAAAAAAAATAGGTCCCATAAAACAAAATCATAGACTTTAAAATACGTAGAGTCAAAACACAACACAACAGAGCTTAAAATCATCTTAATGAATTCATCCAACAAAATCATTACAAGGTATCACTAGAAGCGTGATTCTTTCTAATGTAAATCAATTACAAGATAACCAAATATGCTTTAAACAGAGCGATTTAAAGACACATTACATAAAAATTCATTCAAGACATAATTGGATTTATAATGATTCAACATGTTTGATGCATCATAGACCTAAGCCTACACATTAAATGGCTATAAGCAAGATCTAATCTAAATGTCATACAAACGATGCACTATTGCAATAGTTATAGTAATGAATGCATAAAAATTAAAGGAGATAAGGGAATAGAGAAGAGATACACAGAGATATATAGTAGTTCGACTTTTGTCCTTGCTTTGCCTACTCCACTCTTAAATGGTGTTAAGACCATCCAGAAATAATCATGATCTTCAACTGTTTGATAATTTTGATACAAACATTTTGGTTAAACATAATATCTCACGCTAATTTTTGTTGTTGATGCAAATTGCAAATACTCAAATCACCAACAATAACAAGTTCCACAATGATCTTAATTCAGTAACCTTGTTATGAACAATAACATGCTCCAAGTCTTTGTATATGGCGATCCACCTTGATCCCACTGATTTCTTGTCTGAGCAATTTCCATTAGCTAAGTGTGACTTGGACAACTCCCAACTTTGTATATGAACAATCTTTACACAACTTCACCAAAGCTGAACAACTTCTAACTCCATCTTATGAAAAATTTGTACTCAACCTCACCAAAGTCTTCAATGGAGTATAACAAAATTCTCTCCTTGATGAATAACATCAAATCCAAATTGGTTTCAAGAAATTATCTATGCACTTGTTACAAACAACAAACTTCACACAAAAATATTAGATACCCTAATGTACCCCTAGTCTCTATCAAACACTCAATATTTAAAGATGAAGGTCCATAACAATGGATAAGGACCATGGTTAAAAATGATGAACAGTACCAAAAGAATCACACACACACATACACACACATACACTCTAAGATTCACAAGATAACATCATGGAATTAATTAGATGGTGGTGAATGAAGAACACATACAAGGTTCTCTCAAGTTTCTAGATAAAATGGGTATTGGATCTGGATGATTATCATGAGCTTGATCAAGCTTGAATCTTTACAAGATTGATCAACTCTCTTTCTATGGTTTTTCTCAACAACAAATTACATACACAAGATGTAACAGAAAGAGATAGGTGGTCTGACATGGATTAACAATCAAGAAGTTGTTCTTCAAAGTTCAAACAATAGAAAGAATCAGGGTGCTAAGAATAGACACACTAGAGAATAAAAGATAAATTGACTTTTTATCTTAGGGTTTCACAAGAGCTTTAATCATGAAAAAGAATCACAATAAAAGTTATTTGTTCATGACTCATGCCTTAATACTTTGGTTGGTTTGGGTCAAAAAAACAACTATTTAAATCTTCGAATTTTTGAACCTATGATTTAAATCTTCATCTTTAAATATTGAGTGTTTGATAGAGACTAGGGGTACATTAGGGTATCATACATCATTCGAGTCATGATGTGTTGTGATTCGACCCACTTGTAATGTATGATTCAAATCAATTTTGGCAGAACCAAAACCTTGCTTTCAAAGAGAGCTATGATTCGAGTCATGTTCATTTTGTGATTCAAATCAAATCACACAGAGGAAAATTTCAATTTTCACAACTTCTGTGATTTGAGTCATACAATACACATTGTTCAAATCAAACAATTGAACAACTTGATCTAAGAGTTCTAACTTGTAATTCAAGCAACGCCTGATGGAACAACAAAAAACAACTTACTAGGCTCTAAAAGGATCACAGACCAAAATTCTTACTATTGAATAATGCGGGATTTTAATGGTACAATGCTAAATAGTCGAAGCAAATATAATACAACTCAAATGCGAACGAATTACAAACACACAAGTATTTAAATAACAAGCAAATCACATACACGCGAATAATCAATAACATATACACATAAACTGAAGAGAAAAAAATCAAAACAAAGAAAAACGACATCATACGATAACGTGACTGCAATTTCACAATCTGCCTCTTTCTTGGAACGGCTCTCATTCATCATTTGTCACATCATCAATTGGACATTAAAAAGTAACTTTTTACACAGAGAATTGGAGGAAGTTTATATGGATCAACCTCCAAATTTTACGTTCTTGGCAATTCTAGACTTGTTTGTCAGTTTCATCGTTCTCTTTATGGGCTGAAATAATCTCCACATGGTTGGTTTGGTCGCTTCAACTCTACCTTGATACAATTTGGTATTGACTAGATGTGAAGCAAACCACCCTATTTTCTTCCTTCATTTCTCAACCGGTCGACGCATCTTTATTGTGGTCTATATTGATGACATTGTTATCACCGAAAATGATACAAATCGTATCCAATGTCTCAAAACTCATCTTTTAAAAGAATTTTAGACAAAATACTTGGATCCACTCAAATACTTCTTAGGCATTGAAATTGCTTAATCCTCGTCATACATTGCAATCAACCAACACAAATATACATTAAACATCATTGACGAAAATGATATGCTTAATTGTTATCCTATTAATGCTCTTATAGATCCCAACGTCAATTTTTTTTCCGAATAGAGAGACCTATGAAAAACTTGGTTTTATTCATTCTTTAGTTAAGCTTAAATGAATTTTATTAAAATAAATAAATAAAAATTAAAAAATCCTCATATTTATAAATGAAATTATAATTTTTTATAAGGAAAATTTGCAAAGTCATTTTAAATCATTTATCGGAATATATTTAAAAAAAAACATTTATCTGGTAGAAGAAAAAAAAAGGACAAAATCACTTTATCCTTTAAGATAACACAATGCCGTTGTGAGCTTTAAAGGTTTCAGTTTAAGTGAGAGAAGTAACAAGATAAACCTGAGTGCAAAGAAGATTGTGTGTGAGATCCAGAAACTGTTGTGCCATATTTCCCACCCAAAAAACTCATTTTTCTTCTTCACTATCCATCCATGGCATCTTCATTCTCAACTCAGCTGGTGCAGAGTCAGAACCTACTCCCCCGCTTTCATGCTGTCCAGGTTACTGTTTTTTTTCATGCTCATTTCATCTTCCATGCCTCAACAGAATGTGTTGCTAACAATTTTCTATTATTAATGTGAAATTTTTGTTGTTAATTTTGTTTCCTGTTTAGGGGAAGCCACATGTAGTTTCTAGCATTGGATGCAGTAAATTGTCATCAACATATCATTATGCACCAAGGCTTTCTGTTTCACAACAATCTAAAGCCAAATCAATCACTTCTCGGAGAATAACATGTGCTAGTGGTGCTCAGGGAGAGGTAAGTGTTTCATCTTAAAGTCAGAAAAAATTACTAATAGTTGCTTTAATTGAAAACATTGGTTCTGTTGCTTCTAGGTTGCAGAGCTGCAAGCCAAAGTGACAAGCAAAATTTTCTTTGATATAGAAATTGGGGGTGAATCTGCTGGAAGGATTGTAATTGGTCTATTTGGAGATGCTGTTCCTAAAACTGTTGAGAATTTCAAAACATTGTCTACAGGTAAACAATCAGAGGTTGTATGAGTATCGCGGTGGAGTGTGTTATGTGACATATTGTGTTATTTATTGAGTTGAATCATATTTGTGTAGGAGCGAAAGGATATGGTTACCAAGGAAGCTTCTTCCATCGTATAATACCAAATTTCATGATTCAGGGAGGCGATTTCACCGAAGGAAATGTGAGTACTGTTTGTATTTTGTTAGTATATACTCGCATGAACATACATGAAGCCGCACACTTCAATGGATGTGCATGATGTTAAGGTCGGTGATGTTTGTTTGACTTCAAATGTGTTTTAATTGGATGCAGGGAACTGGTGGAGTCAGTATCTATGGTTCTAAATTTGAAGATGAGAGTTTTGACTGTATGTCTCTTTTCGTGCATGATTGTTAATAAATGAAATTTAAATTACTTATTAGTTATCGGTATTCAAAGTTTTTCCTTGCAGTGAAGCATGTTGGTCCTGGAGTTTTGAGCATGGCGAATGCAGGTCCTAATACCAATGGCAGTCAATTTTTTATTTGCACTGTACCGGTGAGATTAATGTGCCCAGTTTCTATCATTTGAAGAAATTTCGCACACGCACCCACACTAACATTGTTTGGAGATTGTTTAAGTTCGGTTAGATTTAGGTTTCGGTACTAAGTATTTGCTGTGATTTTCATGATGTAGACTCCATGGTTAGACAATCGCCATGTGGTGTTTGGACATGTCATTGAAGGACTGGATGTTGTGAAGCAACTTGAATCACAAGAGACAAGCAAGCTAGACAATAGTCCCAAGAAACCGTGCAAAATTGCCAAGTCTGGAGAACTGCCTTTAGATGGTTGATCTTTACTCCAAAGTTCTGTACATTCTTCTGGCTGTCGAGTGCAATTCAGTTTTGGAGGGTGTTTGGGCAACGGAGTTGTTCGATTCATGTGTTTGAGTTGTCATTGCTCTCTGCCGCAGTTAAAATTTAATGTTACTGAAAGGGTATTTGGTGAATAATATTGTTAAGAGAGTGCAAGACCTATATTTTGTAATGCTCGGCTTGTACCAAAATCCTTGAACAGTAATTGTAATTTTCTATGATAAATTTATGCTTAAGACTTTTCCATTTAATAGTCTCGCATCCATTTCGTGATGTCATTTGCAAGATTCATACATTTAAGCACCACTTTGCTGTGGAGACAGTTTGCAACATTATTGTATTTTAGATAGACAAAATTCTGCTGAGGTAAAACTCTAGATTTGCCTGATAAGCTTAGTGAAATATTTTATCGAAGCAAAACCTATGCATGGACTGTAGCTTCAACTGCAAGCGATTGGATTCTTTGCTGTTGGTTGCCTTCTTCAACCTCCCATATTTCAGGTAATGCTTCTCTGATATTATGAATGCTGTTGAGAGCATGGTCTGCACCCGGCACTAAATCTGAACGACCGACCTGCCATCAATATGTTGTTCCTTGTTAGCTTGCATTGCATATGATAACAGATTATGAAAAGTTATTAGTAATTACTTAGATTTTTACGCAGATAGTATATTATATCTTACAATCACAGTGTGAAATCCAGCTACTTTTCCACTTGCAACATTTCTAACACTGTCGTCAAAGAAAATCTGCAGAAGATATAAGAGAAGAGAACTATCATGCATTGATTCCAAGAGTTTTCAAACGTAGGGACAAAAATATATACAAATAATCAGTCTTACCGTTTTCTTTGGATCCACTTTCGCGATTCTAATAGCAGCCTCAAAGGCTTCAACAGATGGTTTGCAGAGGATTTGTCGGCAAGAGTTGAGAGGATTAAGCGTTTCAAAGCATATGATGCCTTCAAAACAGTCCTCCAAGCCAAGTCTGCTGAGAACTTCAATTGCATGCGCGTGATCTGCATTGGTGAATATCTGCAAATAATATTGAGTAGTTGAATAATACTATGTCATGCTCTTCAATGAACAAAAACAAACTGATATGGAAAAATGAAGTTTTTCGTGACGTACTATTTTACGCTGAGGCATGGAAAGAAGAAGGTTCCTTAACACTAAATCATGCTTTAGTTTCTCATATGGTAATCTTCCATGTACAAAAGCATGAAACTCATCATTATCAAACTCGTAACCAAGAGCCTGATCATAGGAAATTAAAGTTAAAACTCACATAAAAAGAATAAATTAAGACGAGAAAACCGATGTTAATGCAAAATCTGCATACCTTCATTCCTGCCATAGTTGTTCCATGTTCGAGATACAAATCCAGACACATCTTTGATACTTTACTTTCTTCAATATGCAAGTGTTCTAACATATAGTCTGCAAACAAGATTTATTAACTATAGTACTTCTATTACATTACATATACATATGAAATAAATCATCTATGTATGTACCTATAATATTCTTGCGACATGCCAAATTGATCCCTAAGCTCAATGGATAGAGAGTGTCATCCATATCTGTAGTTACCAACATGTGGAACCAAAATCAATACAACCAATTCAAAAGGCAGAAAGGTAATACTATACTCTATAAAACAAGCATGAGTATGCATCATACCAAAAAGCAAGCACTCATATATGACTCCAGAAATCCTGCAACTACTCATCTTGAAGAGAATTGAATCTGCATAAAAATTTCAGTAACCAAAATCTTAAGTTCAAGATTGCATTAGTAGGTAACAGGCACCATATTTGAAGTTTCATGAACATAACTGAAGTGTCTTAAATAGAAAAACTACTAAAACACACCTAATAAAGTAGTTTCAGAACAAGACTACCAAAATCTAAGCCATCAACACACCAAATTTGACCACAAGAAAGACATACTTGATCACAAAATTCAAAGCAAGGAACATTGTCCATCAATTATGGACCATATAATAAAATAATATCAAAACTTTATGCATGTTACTAACAATACCAAGACCTTAGTAAAGCAAAACTAAACGAAACATTACCTGAACCTTAAGCTATAGTGTTTGATTGAAACTCGTATGAAGCATGAATTGGTTGTAGCAAACAAAACTCTATTTATACATACGTGTGTATGATGAATTTGAGGGAGGACCCACCACTAAACAGAATGTGCAAGCTGACCCAATTTCTGAGGTGTTGAGCATCCTTATTTTACAATTTTATATACTTCATCATCTAACTTAGTCATTTTCCTTGCCATAATTGATCTTTTTTTAATATGGTATTTATGTGACTCACTAGTTAGGTACGTTTAATTATAAGTTTGTGTTCCATTTTTTTTTTAATTGAATATACACGTTGAAAATATTAAGAATGAGGTCTATTAAATAATTTCATTAAATTTGGATCTATTTTTATTTAAATTAGTTTATTCTCTTGTGATAAATTATAATTTTGAAATATATGTTCATTTTTTTTCATATGGTATAAGGAGTTTTGGATTTTGGGGTCTTGTTTACGCTTAATTTTGTTTTTGTCTTAATCACAACATGTTTGAAATTCTGAAACACGAATCATCCTAAAAATATTGTTTATTGTTCACCTGCAACAACTATTTATGTGATGGTAGTGTTCATTCTCAATGATATTGTTCATGTCTGATAGCGTTCATCTATTTTTATCTCTAAAAAAATGGAACGGGGCTTGCGTGTCTCTTTGTTATTATTTATTGGATTTTTTTTACCTAATATCTCGAAAAGACACTTTTTCAAGTATCAACCAATATGAATGAAAACACATCTGTTGTAGTTTCTATCTTTAATGTTGGCAATATTGGCTCAAAAGTGTTTGGATTCTTGATTCTGGTGTCACTCATCAAATGATATTTAATTCTCAATATTTTTTGAAGAATATTTCCCTACTCGAGTTGATGACTATGGAGATGTTGATCTTCAATCTTTTAAATTGAAAGATGTGTTTCACATTACTAATCTATCGAATAACCTTATTTCTTTTCATAAGCTTATAAAGGATAATAATTGTACAATTATATATTTTTTATTTTCTTTATACTTTTCCGGGATCTTGTTAATGGAAGACGATTGGAGTTGTTAAAAAACATGGAGGATTATAATATTTCTCTAGTGCACGAACTAGTCTAAATGTGTTGTCTTATGCACTTCAAACTCAATTAGAGTAATATTCTTCCTCTCTAATTCTTCCTCTGAAATTCTTTTAAATACGATTTCAGTACTAGCGATTTGGTCATCCTCTTTTTCATTAATGAAGTGGATGTTTCCATCTTCATTTTCAAAACAATCGGTTGAATCTTTTAAATGTGACATTTTTTCAGTTTTTTAAACATAACCAAGCTACTTTTTCATCGATCCTTACTTGTTGAACCATTTGATCTTATTTATTTTTATGTTTTGGGACCATCCCTTGTTTCTAATATTTTTCATTGTGAGATGATTTATTTTATTTATTGATGATTGCTCTCGGGTAACTTGAATTTTCTTGATGAATAATAAATAAGAAATACCACAATTGTTTATTCAATTTAATAGTATGATACAAATACAATCTGGGAATGATATTAAAAGAATACATTCTCATAATGGTAAGAATTTGTCGATCACAATTTTACATCTTTACTAGTAAACATATCATCATCCATGAATTCATATGTGCCGATACTCCATAATAAAATAGTGTTGTAGAAAAAAATCACCATTCACTTGAAGTCCCCCAAGCTCTTCTCTTCCAGGCATCTCTTCCAAAATCTTATTGGGCTTAAGCAGTTTTGACCGCTACTTATCTAATTAATCGATTGTCATCTCGTATTATAGGTAATATTTGTCATCTTCGATTTATGATCTCATTTTTTTCCGTCAACTTGTACGTTGCAGGGTCTCAAATATCAAGTATTTGGTTGTGTAACCTTTGTCCATGTCCATAAGCATCACCGAACTAAAGTTGGATTCGCATGCCCTTAGATGCATCTATATGGGTTATTCTCCTAACAGAAGAGGGTACAAATGTTATGATCCTCTCAATCTTAAGTATTTTGTTTATAAAGATGTTACCTTTCACAAAAATGCATCTCATTTTGCTCGTCATCAGACTCATAGAGAGAGCATGAATGACTCTGACTCTAAGTTTGAGTTTTTGATCTTCAACCCATAATTTCCCTAAAACACCCTAGTCTACTTCTAAGCCTGAGTTGTCGTATATTGTGAGTGAACTTATTCCTAGTCATAGTCTTTAATCTACATATAGTCCCATTTTTGTTCCTTCATTGTCTTCTGTTTTACAGGAATTAACACATTTGGCATCAGTTATAGTGTATTAGAGAAAAAGTAAATCTAATGTGCTCTAGAAACAACTTCCATCACTTGAACTATAGGTAAGTATTGAAAATTATTCTCCTAATGATGATTCTAAAGTTTTTGATACTCGTGGTATTGATCATAATGATTTATCCATTGATTTGAGAAAAGGTAAAATATCTTGTCCCTCCAAGTATAAGTATCATATTTCTCAATATGTCACCTCTAAACATCTTTCTATGCAATATCTAAGTTTATTTTAGCTATTGATTTTGTGAGAATCCAATAATTTATTGAAGAAGCACTGAAATATAAAAATTGGATTCAAACTATGAGTGATAAAATGAAAGCTCTTGAGAAAAATAGTAAATAGTACTTGAAAAATTGTTGAGAGGGAAGAAGGCAAGAAGTAAGTTGGATGCAGATGGGTCTATATTGTAAAGCATAAATCATATGGAATCCTTGATCTTTGAGAAAAAATATGTGTTTCATGGAACACGAAAACTTGAATGCAAATCTACTAGTGTTTCTATTGAACAAATCCATAAGATGAGCTATGAGGAGAAAAATGTCAAAGTTGACAATGGTTAATATCAGAGGTTAGTGTGAAAATTGATTTGTTGGCACTTTCAAGGTCGAATTTTGCATATTTAATCAACGTGGTGAGTTAATTCATGCAAGATCTGATGGTGAGGCACTTGTAGATGATTGACCATATTTTACAATATCTCAAACCCACTCCAGGAAGATGAATTTTGTTTAAAAAGATGTATAAATCTAACTATGGAGGCTTACACTAATAAAGATTGTGCAGATTCATTGATTGATAGAAGATCTACTCCAGACTATTTACCTTCTTGTGTGAAAACGTTGTTACTTGGAGGAGTAAGAAGCAAAGCATGGTTACACGATCAAGCGATGGAGCAGAATTCAGAACTATGGCATTAAGAATTTGTGAATTATTATGAATGAAATAAGTGCTATAAGATTTGAAGATACGTGTGAAGGCCACGTGAAGTTGTTTTGTGACAATAAATCGACCATCAATATTGCACAAAATCAGATTCAACATCAAAGAACAAAACACATTAAGATTGACCGATATTTCATTAAAAAAAAGTTGGATGGTAGATATTAATGCTTACATACCTTCTAGACATCAGTTAACATATATGTTAGCAAATGGTCTATCAACAGAATGATTAACCAACTTACATGTAAACTTGAGATGATTGATATCCATTTACACGGATAGTGATAAAAACATTAAATTTATAATTATATTATTTTGGAATAATTACACTGACCTTTCCTGAGATCTGTTAAAATGACACATACATTCCCTTAAATTTTAAAGTATACACTAACCTCCTCTAAGTTTAGTTATACCAACGAAATATTTTAATGACAGACAAAAAATAGATAAATGTCGTTATACCAACGATTTTTTATTATCACTAAAAATAAGAGAGGGGTGTCAATGTTGTTTTAATTAACTTTAAAGAAGGTTAGTGCATTATTTAAAATTAGAAGAAAAATTTGTGTTATTTTAATAAACCTCAAAGAAAGTGAGTGTAATTTTCCCTTTTATTTTATTAATATGGGTTACATTAAATAAGTTTATTAGATTTAAATTCATCTCTATTTAAATTAGTTTATTTTTCTATAGTAAATTAGGATTTTAAAATATATAAAAAAATACTTTTCTGTGCTATTTTATAAGTATAACTTTAAGGTCCATTTGCATGTGGTGCTTGCACCGTCCCATGTGGCATGTGCCACCAAAGATACATTGGATCAAAGGATGGGAGCAGTTTATGCTGCTTTGGAACCATTGTACAAGAGAAAAGGAAGGCATATTCTAGAGATTGGGTTGTGAAGATGAGGTTTATTCTTTAACTGTAATGGAATATACAACTATATAGCATCATTGATATGATCATAAAGCATATGATTTGTTGAAATGGTTGTTATTTGATATCCTTTTGGTCCAAATCAGATGCCACCACCTCTGTTAGGTTAGGCTGCTACAAGTTGAAGCCGAATCATCGCCACTACTGCTTTTTCATATTAATGAGATCAATAAAAGTGGTGAGTAGAAAATGTTTGGAAATTGTACCCAAAGAAGAAGAAGAAAATGTTAGGAAATAAGTAAAATAAGAAATAAAATAAATTTTTTAATCTATAATATAAGAAATCTATTTTATCCATTCTGACAGTTTTGTTTTTTTATTCCAAAAACACTCTACGTGGTTATTTATATTGTTTTCTATTTCAGATTTTGGGATTCTTTTACGCACTTCCACGATACATTTGTTTTCCTGCCTCTCAAACAACTCTTATCCATATCAATTTTGTAATTGTTGTCCATAACTCATCATGGCAACTATTCTGTAACCGTCTTCAAACCCTTGTCATTCTGTAACCGTCTCCAAACATTCCTCATGGTCATCGTTATATCTTTCCATCTTCCAAATTTCTGTTACAATATCGCCTTCCTCCAACCCTGCCATTTTCGCATCTTGTCCCTGCTATCAGTTTACCATGGCACGGCCGATTGAAGTTGTATGTGACATCAATTATGGTGAAGAATTATAGAAGGTTGCAGTCAGGGTTCATCATCGGTGGAATGTCCTGATTAACAACAAAGAGAATTTTGAAATGATATTTGTGGACAAAACGGTAAAATAAATCGTCTCTGCGTCTGGATGTTCTGTTTTTCGCAAGGTTTCTGTCATATTCTGTTGTTATGGCAGATTTTACGTAGTGGTATGTTAGTTTTCTATTATGTTGTTATTTTTTTGTGCATTGCAGGGCGATGATATTCAGGTTGTTGTCCCGGCGGCACATAAGTCTGTTTTTGATGAAAAACTTTT